CGTGTCCCCTCACCTCTCTCTTTTTCTTGGCACGCCCATCCTCGCTGCCGGGCAGTCCCTTGCGTTTGGCGCCCTCGGGGCGCTCCCGGGGCCGTGTCCCATCGCTGTCCCTCATGTCCCTCATGTCCCTCATCCTGCGGTCCTTGCGCAGGAACTGCGAGATCAGCTCGGGACAGTCCAGGTTCTTCTCGGGCTCCCACGTGTTGTGTTCCCTGTGGGACGGGCAGGGGACGGGGACACGGTCAGGGGACAGGCAGGGGACAGGGGGACAGGGTCAAGGGATGGGGACAGGGACAGGGGACAGGGTATGGGGACATGGTCAGGGAACAGGGGACAGGGTCAGGAGACAGGGACAGGGGATGGGGACAGGGTTGGGGGACACCATGAGGGGACAGGGTCAGGGGACAGGGACAGGGTCAGGAGATGGGGACAGGGTCAGGGGACAGGGGACAGGCAGGGGACAGGGTCAGGGGACAGGGGGACACCCAGGGGACATCACCCCCACCGCCACGTGTTGAGTTCCCTGCGTGGGACATCACTGGGACACTGTGGGGACAATGTGGGGACACTGCGGGGACATCCCCCACCTCATGGAGCCGTGTGCCCTGTCACACACGGGCATCCCGCTGGTGGCCCTGTGCCAGTGTCCCCTGTCACAGCCCTGTCCCCACAGCACCCCAGGTCCCTGTGCCCGTGTCACACACCGGGATCCCCATGGTGTCCCCATGTCCCATCACACACTGAGATCCCCAGGGTGTCCCCACGTCCTTGTGTCCCTGTCACACACCACAGGTGTCCTGTGTCCCATCACACACCGGGATCCCCATGGTGTCCCCATGTCCCCATGTCCCATCACACACCGGGATCCGCACAGTGTGTCCCCATGTCCCCGTGGTGTCCCCATGTCCCCATCACACACCAGGATCCGCACAGTGTGTCCCCCACCCCAGCAGTTGTGTCCCCATCCCTGGGTGCCCCATCCCCAGGAGCCACGTCCCCATCATGTCCCCATCGTGTCCCCACCATGTCCCTGCCGTGTCCCCATCATGTCCCCATTGTGTCCCCACCATGTCCCCATGTCCCCATTGTGTCCCCATCGTGTCCCCACCGTGTCCCCGCCATGCCCCTGCCGTGCCCCCATCATGTCCCCACTGTCCCCGCTGTCCCATCATGTCCCCACTGTGCCCGCTGTCCCCATCGTGTCCCCACCGTGTCCCCACCATGTCCCCATCATGTCCCCATCATGTCCCTGCCGTGTCCCCATCCTGCCCCCATCGTGTCCCCATCCTGTCCCCATCATGCCCCCGCCGTGTCCCCATCACATCCCCTGCCGTGTCCCCATCATGTCCCCGCCATGTCCCCACTGTCCCCGCTGTCCCCAGTGCCACTCACTCGGAGAATCCCTTCCACTTGAGCAGGTACTCGGCCTGGCCCCTCACCACGCGCCGGTCCAGCACCTTCTCCACCACATACTCCTCCTCCTCCCCCGAGGACGAGCTGTCGGCTGCCCGCCGGCTCCTCCTGCCCATAGCGCAGCCACCGCTCTGGGGACACCCA